TCTCTCTCTCTCTCTCTCTCTCTCTCTCTCTCTCTCTCTCTCTCTCTGTCTCTCTCTCTGTCTCTCTCTCTGTCTCTCTCTCTCTCTGTCTCTCTCTCTGTCTGTCTCTCTCTCTGTCTGTCTCTCTCTCTGTCTGTCTCTCTCTCTGTCTCTCTCTCTGTCTCTCTCTCTGTCTCTCTCTCTGTCTCTCTCTCTGTCTCTCTCACACACACAGACACAGACACACACAGGTTCCAGGCTCTCTGTCTAGTGCTGGGAACTTAGTGGCTGTTCAATAGAACTTACTAATTATGATTTGTTGCTGATGAAGAGGTAAGATTAAAAGTAAAGAGTTAACAAGTACCCAACGCTGGATGAATATTAACTGTGGATATGCTCAGGATAGATTTTGGGGCCCCACGTGGTCTGTAAATGAGCCTCATACGACCTTGTTATTATTACTATGGCATTCTGCCCAACAGGCCTCTTGGCCACATCTCCCTAACCTGTAAGCACCGTGCACTCTACGACAGGTCTCTGTCCTGCCAGTGATGATGGAGTAGAGGGGAAAAGACGCTGGATTGGGAGTCAGGAGACCCAAGTGCCAATCTCCACATTCTCAATAAGCTCCAATTTATTCTGAATACATCTTGCTCGTATGTAGTTGTTTGCATGCTGGCTCCCCATTAGACCGTGTACCCCCAGAGTTCAGGGTCTGGGCTGTCTTTTGGTGGGGTTTGTTTTTGCTTTTCTGTGTATCCTCACTGCTTAGCACAGTGCCTGGAACACAGTAGGGGCTTAATAAATGTGTGTGGACTTGACTGTCTTATCTACTCCATTCCACCCATGTTCTCCCCTTCACCTCCCTCCTTACTGCCTCATTCTCCTCAGACACACACAATCCATGCTGTATTATTAGCATTAACCTTTCATCTTCCCACTCTAATAGAAATTCAGCTTTTCCTCAGGACAAACACTGATTTTTACTGGGGATCTCTCTTATGGAGGCCTCATCTTTCCCCGTACCTGTTATTTATACCTCTTAGGCAATTACCATATTCTATTTGCCATCATTATTTGTATATGTCTTATTTCCCCCAACAATACTGTAAGCATCTTGAGGGCAGTGACCCTTTTTTATTTATTCTTGTAAGGCCCTTAATGCTCGGCAACACTCTATTCATTCATTCAATAAAAGTGTTACTGAGTGTTCACTATGAACCTGTGTCCCCTATGATGGGCACTGGAGGAGGTCTAAAGTAGTGAGGACGAGTCTTTGCCCTCATGGTATTTGCACACGTTTAGTAAGCATTCCGGAGCAGTCTAACAAATACAATGTTGACTTTTGCTGAGACCGGTCTGAAGGCTCACCTAATCCAATGTTTCCCACATTATGTCGTCCATGGAACGATTTTAGACTTGAAATAGATTGACATAAATTTTGGGGACCACAAGGGGTAAGAAATAATGGAAATAGAGCCAATGGGGAAACAGGAGGGGAAGGCATTGTCAAGAAGGGTCATCATAGAAGGTGATTGAGGGTCTAGTACTGGTGGGGGGGTAGGGAGAGACTTTCTCCTTGGGATGGGAAGTGTTTTTCCTTTGACCACTCTGGTATTCGCACTCTAGGCAGCAATAAGCTTATTCTTCCCCTGCCCTCAGATCCCATTCCTCTTACTCATGGCCTTTTTCTTTCACTTGGGTACTGTGGTATCAATGCCTTATCAGAGCAATCACAATTTTCTTCTGAAATCTCTGTTTATAGAAAGAAAACTTTGGGTTCTTCCTCGGGACTAAATTTGGGAAATATGGATCCAGTCTAGAGTGATCATTCTTCAGATAAGGAAAACGAGGCCCGGAGAGGTTCAGAGACTTCCTGGAGGTCACTCAGCTAAGTCACGGCCAAGTTGTGATGAGAACCCTGCAAATTCCAAGGCCGGGACACTTTCCACTGTACCGCAGGAACAAATTTACATGAACAACATCTCTGAACTCAAGATTCCCTATATGCATAGTCTTAGGTTTAATTTTTGGCCATTCCACGAAGGCCTCACTGGTCCACCCTAATCTAAACTCGCTTCATTCCTCAAATCTCCCACAGCCACTTTTGTTGATCCCAGACATTTGTGAATTTAATCATCTACTCCACCCAGATATCTCTCCTACTGTGACTGAAATTGTGTATTTACTAACATTATTAATATTTATTAAAATTGTGTATTTAAGCAGCAGAGGGAGAATGGACCGGTGGGGACTAGGAGCCAGGGAGATCTGGGTTCAGACACAGTTGTATGATCCTGGGCAAGTCACTTAACTACTCTGCCTCTCAGTTTCTATATCTGTAAAATGAAGGGAATGGACCCCCTGGCCTCCATAGTTCCTTGTAGTTCTAAAATCTATGATCAGGGACAGCTCGGTGGTACAGTGGGTAGAGCACTACTCTCCTCCAGCTCCGGCCTTGGGCAGGTGGTCAGTACACACTTGTCCATTTGATTTCTCCCTTCTGCCTTTCATGCAAGAACAAGATCTGATACTGAGTGAAAAATAAATCTTCTAATCACTCCAAACATGAATTTTCTTTCTGTCTGTATGTTTTTCCTGAGAGCGAAAATATGAATAGAAATAGAAATAGAAAGATCAATACTCACTTAGAAATGGGATTGACACTGGCCTCAATAATTGTTAAACACTTACAGCACTTAATATTTTCTGGAAATTCTTGTACACCTAAAAATGGAGAAAAAACAAAACATAGAACCAAACGTGAGAACATTCCAAGCAAAAAGCCCCCTTTTATTTCATAGCTGTTGTTCAATGTGAAACAACAGTGGTAAAACTCATGCACTGTATTTACATGTGTACCATGTAAATGTTTACATGTAATAGTTATACACGTAACATGTAGCTATCATGTAGAAATATTTATGTCTCTAAACTCAAATTCGTATATGCATACATAATTATTGTCAATTAAAATCATTTTTTGGTTAAAAGGATATTTAATTGCTACCAACACATTCTAAACAAATTACCTTTTGTGCACTGTGTAATACACACATATGTGTGTGTATATATATATATACGCAAAGACATGTATTTATCTATACATACACATGGATGAAAATCATAACTAAAAACAATCCAAGTAACTTTAGAGATCTCTCTCCCTCTCTCTCTCTCTTTCTCTCTCTCTCTCCTCTCCCTCTCTCTCTCTGTCTCTCTCTCCTTCTCTCCCTCCACTCTCTCTCTCCCCCCTTTCTCCTCTCTCTTTCAGAAGTCAGGGATTATTTCCCTTTGCCTTTGATTCCCAACCCTTGAAGAGTTATTGGCAGATAGTAGGTGCTTAATAAATGCTTGTTGATTGAGCAATCAGGAATGAGAGAACTTCACAAAATATATTTGTGCAGTATAAACCTCTATGAAAAAAATAATGAGTGTGCATTTATATAGAGATAGTATATTCTATACTAGAGATACTCATCCAAGAATTTAACAGACATTTAGAAGTACTTACTGTGTACAGGTAGAAAAATTTTAAAATGGAGCTGGTATGAAGGGTATAGTGGAGAAAGTGCAGACTGGAATCAAGTCAACAAACATTTATTAAGCACTTCATATGTTCCAAGGCTCTATATCCAGTGCTGGAGTCAGGGGATATGACTTCAAATCCTGCTACTGATTCCCACAGCCCGTGTGACCTTGAGCAATTAATTTCATCCCCATGTGCCTCAGTTTCCTCATCTGTAAAAATGACTAGATGGTCTCAGAAGTGCTCTCTGACTCTATGTCCATGGTCTTATTATCCTACCTGTAGTTATTCATTCAATGAGCTGATTCATAACTGAACACCTAATTAGCAATAACTTTATTTTATACTTCCACATATGAAGCATTTAATAAAAATTTCTTGAATTCTCTAGGTCAGCAAATTCAATTCATTATAGAGAAATTTTATGCTGCCTTTAGAACTGTTGTTCTCCTAAAAAGAAAATCCTGTCTTTTTTTTTTAAACACTAATATTCCTCTAATGACGCTATATATCTGTGGGCTATGGCAAACCATTATTTCTGAAGAGCCAAAGCTGGGGTTCACCCCAAGGCCCCCAGGGAGATGCTCGGTTTTTATGAGCATGCTTCAACACGGTCAGCAACAGTGCAGAGGAAGTCTCACCCGGGAGAAGTGGGAGATGGGCAATTTCATCAGAAGAAAGATGGGCTGTGTAATGGAACACAAGGCAACGGATGACCAAAGATGGTTCATAGGCCCCACTGGTGTCTTTCCGAGATGAAGATATAGAATGCAAGGATACCCTCTTTACCCAGGGCCACTCAACCAATTCAAAGTAAGAAGCAGAACAGGAACCCGGGTCCTGCTCTCTATTTGCTATCCCATATATTCCATATAAATGAATATTAAGGCTTCGTTTGTGTCATTGATTTCAATGGTGGGCCAGCAAACAAGGGTTGGGTGTGATGGATTGGAGTTTGTAATCTAACACAACATAACACAACACAGTACAGTATAGTGTGATGTGACATGACACAGCAATGCAGAGTCATGGTATATAGAAGCATGAGTATTTGAGCATATCCTTGCCTTGAGCAACATGGCATTGATAAGAATGAAGTTCATTACATGTCTATATTTAGATATATAAAATGAGCCTGCCTAGTCATAATGAACCAGCCTAGAAGACAAGAGGAGCTGGTACAAGCCCCACTTTGGACTTTGCCATCCTGGTAAGTGACAGACTCTTAGTGCTCGAGGTAGCTCTCTAAGACTCTAAGGCCCAGAGAAGAGGTTGTGCTGAATTGGGAGAGGGGATTCCCTAAGCCACCAGTGCAGGTCCGTGTCTAATGCCTCTCTCTTGATATATTCTAATATAAATGTATTTAATGTCTCAATTTAATCCAGAAATCATGAAACCTTTGCTTTAATAGCAGCCTATACACTTTGACCAATTTTGACCTTCATGAACTATGGAAATTGGAAATAATTAGAACTGAGTGGTTCCTAGCATTTTTTAGTATGAGGAAACCTTTTTTTAATCTTTATTATTTTTTATTAATTTATTTTGATTTATCAATAATCACTTCCATATGCTTTTGAATTTAAAATTTTTCTCCCCCTCCTCCCGATCACCTTCCTCAAGACAGCGCACAATCTGATATATGCTACACATTTACATTCATATTAAACATATTTTCACTTTAGTGATGTTGTAAGTAAAAATTAAAACCAATAGGAGGAACCATCCTTTAAGAGGAAACAAAACTCAACAGAAGAGAAAAAAATAACAATTCAACTTCCATAGTTCTTTCTTTGGATGTGGATAGCATTTTCCATCACAAGGCCTCTGGAGATGTATTAGATCCTTGTATTGCCAGGAAGGGTTAAGTTTATCAATATTGGTCATCACACAACGTGGCTGTTATTGTGTACAACGTTCTCTTGGTTCTGCTCACTTCACTCAGCATCAGTCCATACAAGTCTTTCCAGGTTTTTCTGAAGTCAGCCTGTTCATCACTTCTTATAGCACAATAGCATTCCTTCACATTCATATAGCACAACTTGCTCAGCCATTCCCCAGTTGATGGGCATCCTCTCAATTTCCAATTCTTTGCCACCACAAAAAGAACTGCTATGAATATTTTTGTACATGTGGGTCCTTTTCCCGTTTGTGTGATCTCTTTGGAATACAGCCCTAGAAGTGGTATTGCTGGGTCAAAGGGTATCCACATTTTTATAGCCCTTTGGGCATAGGAGAAAACGCTTTTATTTTTTTTTAGCATAAACCATTTTTGTGGGCTTCCACATGATTGTCCTTGTTGGTACTAAACAGATCAAAAGGGCAATGGTTAGTATGCATGTGGATTCAGACCTCTTGTAATAACTCCCAAGGTACCACAGCCCATAAATGGAAGAACGGGAACCAGTGTTTCAAAGCCGTCATCTGTAACCTAGGTTTTTAGGCCTAGATTTTACATAGTGCTTTTAACACTAGCTCAGGCGTAGCTTTTGTTCAGCAGGCCTGAGATAACTTAAGAGGGAAAGGAATTGATGTGGATGTGGGTACATTGGAGAGCTATAGCGGAGGGCAACCAGGATGGTTGAAGGCCTTATGTTCAGGAGGTAGCAGGAAGTTGGGATGTTTAGATGAGAAAGAGGAGACTTGGGAGGGGGGTGAGGGTGGAGGGAGGCTAGTTGTCTTCAAGTATTTGGTGATCTACCATAGTTTGCTAACCCCTAGATCACTGGCCTCTGAGATCTCATCCAATTCTGAAAAAAAAAGATTCTCTGTTTCTATGAATTGGGGTCATTCTCTCTAGGGAGAAATAGCAACCCAAGCTGACCCATCAAATACAGCAAAAGTGCTTCTGGAGGCAGCCTGTTTTAGAGGCAGTAACATTCTGTTCGGTTTAACTCTTGTTGCTTGAAGTATTAACAAACGGCAAATGCTACCAGAATATCAAGATAGAATCAAGACATGTCCCTAACACTGACTTCAGCAATCACACCTCTAAACAGAATTAGAATATTCTCCTGGAAATACTCCCTGTAGAAATTCCGCTCTGTACACACTTATCAAATGAGAAATGCTATAATTTTGCTTACTGAACTACATGGGTCCAATAATCAAGGTTTTAGATAGAAAAGAATTGATAAAAAAAATCCATTAAGAAAACATTCTTGTGTTCGCAGGCAGAGGACAAATTGACCATTTAGGCCCATTCTAATTAGGAAAGGATTTGTTTCTTTTTTTTTCTTCTAAATCGAAGGGAAAATTTTAAAAGACAGCAAACTCTCAATTATCCAGGGACCAATTAGGCAGTGTGTGGATTATCCATTGTCTTCCTTACTCTCCCTTTGCCTGGCTTCCAAGTAACCATTTCACTCCTCATTAACTCTTCCACCAGACGCTGCAAAAAGTAAGGAAAAGGAGAGGAAACTCCAATCCATCAGGCTGAGTCCTTGTTTGTGGGCGCAGCATTGGAACTAATAGGGCCAGTGAAGGCTTATTACTGCCTGTGAACTATATTTATTTGTGCTACTCTGACCCTTATTAAGACAAACCTTCAAGGGTGGGCTAGAGCTTGGCAAACCTATTAATAACAGCAGTTTTCAATCTTAGTTAAAGATAAAAATAGAATAGGTGTCAGACAAGAAATGGGATACCATAAGGCGTTTAATCAAAACCAGAATTAGATGAATAGGATCACAGGATTACAACTGGAAGGATCCTTAGAGATCATCTAGGACAGTCGCCTTATTTTATATATACATGTGCTTGGATAAGTATGTGTTCATATACACACAAATATACAAGTGTATGTATATATGTAAATATACACATATGTATATTTTTCTCTCTCTACCTACCCATCTATCCAGCTACCATCTATCCATCTATCCTTCTTTCTTTCTTTCTTTCTTTCTTTCTTCCTTCCTTCCTTCCTTCCTTTCTTTCTTTCTTTCTTTCTTTCTTTCTTTCTTTCTTTCTTTCTTTCTTTCTTTCTTTCTTTTTCTTTCTTTCTTTCTTTCTTTCTTTCTTTCTTTCTTTCTTTCTTTCTTTCTTTCTTT